TTGCTGCTGTTGTGGTTGCTGCTGCGCGGCTGTGCTCGTGTATATGTAGCTTTTTGCCGGCCTTCATGGGCGCCAAGCCGTACCACAAGGCTCACGCACGCGGGGTGAAGATCATCGGGGCTACCGCCCACTACGCCACGACAGACTTGGACGCAGGCCCCATCATCGAACAGGTGTGACTTGATACATTGATGACATAATACCGGTTGTAGGCGTAGGTTCATTCTTTTTTCCTAGCGGTGTCTTTGCATTGCTGCCATTGCTGCTGTACATTAATTGCGTGGCTTCTTTCAGTAGTATTTTGTGTGATGAAGAGTGTTTTTGTACATTTTCGGGGTTAGGCTCTGTACTTGTAGTGCCGCCCGCCCCACCTCAAATCTTCAGGGTTGCTCCATCAGGGTTATCATCGTTGTGACTGACTGGTCATTCTTCAGTCTGTTCTTGGCCACGTTGCGACGTTGGAGGACTTGGGGCTTGGATCTTGGTGGCGCAATCAAATGAAGTAGAAGTAAGCAGTATGAGATCACTTTCTCCCTAAAGCTATTAGTTTTTGTGTATGCAAAACACTCGCCTTGACAGTCGACTTGGAGAAACGTGTCGCGGTGAACACTAAGGCGTGCATTTCAACAGGAAGGTGAATAGAATCAACACCAAGAAACTCCACAGTGGGGGCTCTCCAATTTCGCCCCAATTGGTACCTCCGAAAGCGAACTACCGAAAGGTTACCCCGTTTCAGCCCAGAATGAAGTGGATGGCACGCTATCATCGCACAGGAGTGCTGGGTGGACCGTTGCGACTTTGCCTGGAACTCGTTTTTCGTCGAATTGAATGAAATCAGAAAGGAACCCGCGGTTATTTTTGACCCCTCCCGTGAATGGTTGTGAACAAACATTACCAGGACGTTACGCGTATCAGCCACAGCGACTCGGTGGCGGACATGATTCGGAAAGGCAGAGATCTGGAGAGGCTGGTGCTGGCGAGGGCTGTACGTTGGCACCTGGCGAGCGCCGTCCTAGTGGAGGGGAACAAGACGGTCGTCTTCATGTCGTGATGGTCGTTCCTTCCTGTTCCTTCTCCGCCAGCTCTATCCTGGTCACTCACTCTTGTTGGGTCGAAGTTCCACTTTTGTGGGGTGGTTTGTTTTGGTCTTGTGTAGCTCTTGATTATTGTCATGTAGGCACTGACGTCGCCCACAAGCCATTGTAGGGGTCTTGATGCCGTCAGTAGAGCCAACACAACGCCCCCCGTTTCCCGTAAATGACCACCTATCGGCCCGTTCATTCGATCAAGAGCTTTGATTGTTTTCGGTTTGACGTATGATATTCCTATTTAGGACGCATGAGACACCCCGAGAAGGGTCTTTCGCACACGGTTGCTGCGTGACACTACAGTACATTCCAGCTCTGAGTGAACGTCTCGTTTTCTTTTGTTTTGCGTAGATATGTTTTTTACCAAGTTTTTCCGCTCCGCAAGAACACTTGTTGGCCATCACGACGTCCGTCATCGCTTGGTTTGCACTTATCCCCGCCAATTGAGTCGACTATTCGATCATCGAGCCAACTCAAGGTTTGGTGTATGTGTATGATTTGTAGGTTCTGGTTGTGGTTTGCTTGCCCGCAAGGTGTTACCTTTGCCCAGGTCCGGCTTGTTCCCGACCTGTTTTTTTGTGACGGCCACCGCCAGCACCCACTCCTGCTTGCTCATGTTCGTTGAAGCACCAGCGGCGAAGGTCCTCTTGAAGAGTAGATGGGTTCAACTGTATCCGTGATCTCGCGGCCATTATTTTTCTAGTTTGATTTTCTGACGAGATCGCAACCAACTACCGATGTTCACAAATTGTTGTGGTGTTTCGTTTCGTGTTGCTAGCCGTGGAGGCAGGCACCAGTAGCAACGCCAACCGTTATGGTGTGAAAAGAAACATCACTACCATGCAGTCGTATTGATTACCCTCGGACCGTCGGGTGGGAGAGAGTTAACGTAATGCTTCCAAGATGACTCAGAATCTCCTGTGCGACCCCGTCTGGCGGGTCCAATAAGTGTACCGAAAGGTGAAAGAGGACCGACGTCCAGAATAAATGGGATGACAAAAATCGGCTGTGTTGGGGGCGCGGAGCGAACTGGAGCTGATAAAGAGATTCTCCCTCGAAGAGGAGGAAGGTTCATGTGGAGGTCTCCGTTCGTTGATAGGTTGTACGATCAGCTCAGCTTCACTGGGGTTCGTGTGAGGTTTACTACGGAGGTACGAAATACTTGACACGTAATGTTCCTACCTGACGTTACGTTACGTTTTGTCACCCTGTTTCGACTGACTGGCCATCGGGAGCTCATCAATGCATACCCGCAACTGCTGCACCGTCTTCCATTCGCTCACGTGTATACACGACACGGAACTGACCTGACTGGGGCGTTCGAGAGCGGATCCCTCTCACCATCTACTGCGCCCTACGGCAGATGTGTCCCACTAGCGAACATCCGTTCCACAAATGTGTCAATTCATTCGCAGCAAATCGATGAGCAATCTCTCATCAGTGCGCATGTCTTCCGGGACGGGACATCTCCACTCTACTGCAGCACCGTTCACAATTTGTTACCTACACCCCGGCGCTGACTTGGCAGTGGTAAGAAGTACATGCGCAACACATTTCAAAACCATAAAATGGACTAGAGCACCTTTTCTTCGTAAGCCCGGTTAATACCCCCTACACTTAAACCTATGTAGCGGCCGTTTGTTGCCCACAAGAGGTACTTATGTACTGCAGTACTGTAAGAACCCCAGTCTCGACAAAAACCTTTAGAGGTTCTCAATTTAGTGCGGGTATTTACCTGCGTAACAAAGACAATCCTCCCGCCAGAATAACCCCCAGGTCTGAATTACCCCCTCATACGGCGATCATTCCGCACCACTCGGAAACTTCCTTCTCAACTCGTCCCCGATCCCCTTGTGCGAGCGTATGCCTCCGCTCGGTCTTCCTCAGAAGGTCTTGATGATCTTGCGCCGTTGCTTATCAGTCGATAACCTGCCCGGGCGCACGGCAGAAGAAAATACAGGCAGTGGGTGGGGCTGTCAAATACCGTTGACGACAACAAGTGCCGTTTATTCGGCTGGCACAGAGTGAATCGCCCCAAGTCATTTATTGCCGGTGCACGGCATACACTAGTGCCGGTCAATATTACTTCCTGTGCGCATACCAACACTAAACAGCCCGCCCCGCTGTGGTCGGTTGCGAAGGCTTTCTTCCATGCAATAGCCTCGGAAACGTCAAGACAGCGTGCGGACGATAGATACGCAGTGAACTCTTCGCGGGCGCCCGTTTCGACGAAGGCCCCCGTCAATGCTGTGTCGTTTGTATGCACGGAACAGCAGCAACGACAACGTTATGGCGTCCCCACAACTGAATTCATAAAACGAATGAAAAAAAAAACACAACACACATTGTTTTAATGGAGGGCACAGTCGGGAATAAAATCACTCTTGCACAATTGGTCACACAGCTATTGGTCCGTACTTGTATGGCGGTCTCCACCACTAAAAACGAAAAAAGTACCACATACACACCCAATAGAGAGTTTCGGAACAAAAGTTAGATTTAAGGAGACACCTTCCCCCCCCAGGTGTTTGCCATCGGGGTTGGGCTTTCGTCGCTTGGCAACGACGTTGTAAAACAAGCCAATCCACTTCGTGAGCTCGGAAACCAGGTTACCGTTTTTCTTTTTTACTTTTTTTTTTGGTTGGCGGTAACCATAGACTAATGGTGGTCGAGTAGATCGTATTGTGCGGGGTCGAGAACCCTCACTCCGCGCAAGGGGGATGATCGCACCACGTTGTGTTAAAATGGTCAAGCACCCTCGAGGCAGTTACACAGTGCTTACAACTGTC